AAAGATACATCAGTCATTGGGAAAAATGACTCCTAACCCAGAAAGCCTCTGCCTCAGCCCCACTGGGATGGACTCACAGATGTGAAGATGGAATCTTTGTATGGGGCTCATGGAAATGCAAACAGGGCAGCCAATTTGGAAAGCAATCTGGCAGTTTCTGGAAAGATTATCCAGAGTTTCCATATAACCCTGCAATTCCCCTTGTAGGTGCACATCCAGGGAACTGAACACATGTCTGCACAAAACCTGTTCACAGCAGCATGGTCTAAAGGTGGACACTACCCAAGTGTCCAACAGTTAATGAATAGACACAACATGGTCCATCCACACTGGAAAATTATTCACCCATGAAAAGGAGAGAACTGATCCAAAAACTATGGTACATCTACACAATGGAATACTATGCTGCCATAAAAAAGAAGGAATTCTCATCATTTGCAGCAACCTGGATGGAATTGGAGAACATCATACTGAGTGAAATAAGCCAATCGATGAAAGAGAAACACCACATGACCTCACTAATTTGTGGACAATAAAAAACATTATAAACTGATGAACCAAAAGATAGATATAGAGACAGTAAAGCAACAAGCAGATTGTCAAATTACAGTGGGGAGGGGAGGAGGATCTGGGGGAGATAGTAGATCAACCCAAGGACTTGTATACATGCATATAAGTACAACCAATGGACACAAAACTCTGGGGAGGGAGGGGGGCAAAAAAAAAAAATCAAAAAAAATATGTAAAAATAAATAAAATAAAAAATTGAGAAAAAAAAAAAAAAAAAAAAGGAGAGAACTGACACTCCCTACAGCATGAATGAACCTTGAAAACATGACGCTCAGTGAGAAGCCAGACACAAAAAGCTACACAGTGTGATTCCATTTATGTGAAATGTCCAGAGCAGGCAGATCCAGACAAAAAGTGGGTCCAAGGTTGTCAGGGTCTGGGGATTGGGGAGACTGCTGATGAGGATGATTTTTTTTGTTCCAAATCTTCTGCAATTTATCAATCAAGAATACATAGGGGCAAGTATCTTTGGCAAATAAAGTGAGTAGTGTAACTCAGCACTTACAGCAAGGTGGCAATATTAGCTCAATATTATTGAGCTATCCTACAAATTAAGAACTGACAATCAGCCCTGACTGGTTTGGCTCAGTGGATAGAGCCTCTGCCTGTGGACTAAAGGGTCCCGGGTTAAATTCCAGTCAAGGTCATGTACCTTGGTTGCTGGCACATTCCCAGTAGGGGGTGTGCAGGAGGCAGCTAATCAATGTTTCTAACTCTCTATCCCTTTCTCTTTCTCTCCGTAAAAGTCAATCATTTATTTATATATATATGACAAATCAAGGACATAATGAAACATTATGGCTGCTATAAACCAACTAATTTTATGTTTTTTTTTTGTTTTTTTGTTTTTTTTTTAATATATTTTTTATTGATTTTTTTTTTTTACAGAGAGGAAGGGAGAGAGAGATAGAGAGCTAGAAACGTCGGATGAGAGAGAAACATCGACCAGCTGCCTCCTGCACACCCCGCACCAGGGATGTGCCCGCAACCAATGTACATGCCCTTGACCGGAATCGAACCCGGGACCTTTCAGTCCGCAGACCGATGCTCTACCGCTGAGCCAAACCGGTTTTGGCTAATTTTATGTTTTATTTTCAAATTGATTTTAGAGGGCAGGGGAGAGAAGAAAAAAAAAACATTAATTGCCGAAACCGGTTTGGCTCAGTGGATAGAGCGTCGGCCTACAGACTGAAGGGTCCCAGGTTCGATTCCGGTCAAGGGCATGTATCTTGGTTGCGGGCACATCACCAGTGGGGGGTGCAAGAGGCAGCTGATCGATGATTATTCTTCTCATCGATGTTTCTAACTCTCTATCCCTCTCTCTCTCTGTAATAAATCAATAAAATATATCTTTAAAAAAAAAACCAAAAAACCATTAATTGTTTGCCTCCTGCAAGTGCCCCTACTGGAGACTGAACCCAAAATGTGGATATATACCCTGACTGGGATTCGAATGGGCAACCTCCTGGTGCATGGGATGATGCCCAAACAACTGAACCACACTGGCCAGGCCCAAATCAACTGATTTTAGACATAAAGATTGAAAAATTTAAGAGCAAAATAAATGAATAGTGCTAAGAAAAAAAAATTATTAACTCCCCCCAAGGAAAAAACCTGACAATGAAATCAAGAAAACACTAAGATTCAGTTAATAGATCTCAACTTGGATCCTTAAATTTAGACAAGCAAAACTGATTAAATACTCTGATATGCATCGAAACCATTTTTTAAATTGTATGATCGGTGTACAAACAATGCTCTAATCAATTGAGCCACACTGGCCAGGGCAACACTGTACTTTCTCGTCCAAAAAATCCATACACGAAATAAGATGATTTGTAACATCATAGCCAATGGCTTATTGCATAGTTTCTGGCTTACTGTTACATTTCAAGTCCTAGTTTTCCAGCCACTAGGAAATAAAAATTCCCAATTTGCTTCCTAGTTTTCAAAAATTATTAAGGCCTTGGCCAGGTAGCTCAGTTGGTCAGTCATCCCAATACCAAAGTTGTGAGTTCGATCTCTGGTCAGGGCACACACAAGCAGCAACCAATTAATGCACCAATAAGTGGAACAACAAATTAATGTTTCTCTTTCTCCCCTCCTTTCTCTAAAATCAATAAAATAATTATCAATTAGTTTATTGGCATACTCAGTGCTACCATAAAGTGACTAGAAGATGGATTAAAGTGTATACAATGAGCCTGACTTCAGCTTCAATAAGCCTTTTCTTCGGAAGGAAACTGCACAAATGTGTCTCAGAGCACATTCTACTTTAAGCATATGAGCGGTCACCAATGCAGCCGTGCACGGTCCTATGTAAAGCCTCAAGAACACACATGTATTTTGCAAAGAGAGCAGACTAAGCAAACAACAAATTGATTCAGGGAGAGCAGAGTTAAATGGCCCAATCCTATATAATAAAATCCTAATATGCAAATCAACTGAGCCTTGGAATGACTGAATGCTATGATGCACATTGACCACCAGGGGGCAGTTCATGCATTGTCTGCTCTCCCCACCCCACCCCACCCCCCACCCCCCATAAGATGGGGAAAATGCCTCAGAAGAATCATGTTATGTATTATTTTTTGTAATCAGGGCAAAAATACGTATGTAGCTGTCCATACAAATGCAAGATGCCTTTCACCTGTATGAAAAGTATGGTCACTAGTGCATGCAGCGTCCTGGATTGTGAGGGATGTCTACTGGTTTAGGCCCGACATCCCCAAAAGGGTCTCAGATTGCGAGAGGATGCAGATAGGGATGAGGGATCGCCCAAACCCCATGCACGAATTTCGTTCACATGGCCTATAGTCCTATATAATCCTATATAATAAAAGCCTAATATAAAAATTGCTCAACCTGGGTTCGCCAGCTCACTATGATGTGCACCAGCGGGTGGTGCGGAACACGGCGGGTGTCGGCGATGTGGTGCTGGCAGCGGGCAGCAGTGGAGGCGCTGCTGGCCCCAGTGGACCCTGAGTGGGACCGCAGTGGGATAGTGGAGCAGCTGAGAGGGCGGCGCAAGGCCAAGGCGGATACCCCAATAAATTAAAAAAAAAAAAAAAAAAAGGCAACCTATATAGCCAACCAAAGTGACAGCAGAAGTGAAATGGGGAACAGGGGGTGGTTGTTGGAGTTGGAGTTGCTTTTGGGAGTGATGTAATATTCCAGAACTGGTGGTGATGCATGCATAGCTGGGAACACACTAAAATGTGTACTGTAAATGGGTAAATTGTATGGTGATTATGTCTCAATAAAGCTATTTAAGTATATACATGATTTCTTTTAACTTGGGGGGACTGTGTCTTCTGGAACCAGACACTCTAGTGAGGGAGAGGATCATTGGACCCCAAACTTCTGGGCAAGAAAAGCACAAGGGAGCATGGCTGGAAGTGAGCATTGGACAGTAATTCTGCCTTTTGGGTGAAGGGAGAGGACAGGTGCACCCTTGCATTGAGAACACTGGACAGACGGCCAGTGGCTGTGGCAGTTTACAGGTGGGGAGCAGTGAGGGGTCAGAGACCCTGTCTTGAAGCCACAACAAACCCGTCCTCCCATTTTTTAGACAAGTGAAACTGTTTACTCAAAATACCTTTAATTTAAAAACACCCAGCTTCAATACCAACTTAAATCCAGAGGTGTTTTAATCTCCCTGCCTGCTGACCTCGAGAGTCCTCAACAGATAAGGGACAGGGCCACTGTGAGAGGAGCACAGAGAAGAGAAGCTGGAAGAGGGGGCTTACCCGGAGACTCGGACCCAGGTCCCACTTGTGGGGAGCCAGCGTGGAGTGCCGGGGGGGACAAACAAGAACCTAGAATATCTTGGCTGCTGGCTGGCTCACTGGCCTCCCCTCAGCATCCTGTCCTCTTGAGGAGCCATTTACGCAGGATCCCAGGTGGGGCTCAGTGTCCATGTGAGCCCTCAGCCCAGGAAGGCAAGCACACAGCCTGCCTTGGGTTCCAGAGGAGCAGCAGGTAGGTTTCCAGGGTGGAGCAGATCACAGCAGGACAGACCGCAAGCAGGCCAACTGCCTGGGTAAGGTGGTTACAGTCCATTTGTCTGTTTCCTGGGGGCTGGGGGAGAGAAGAAAGGGCTATCACATGATTCGTCTATCACATGGGTTGGGCATACCCAGGGGGCAGGTGCCACTCCCTCTGGGCCCCACAGGAGGTGGATAGTGACAGGCTGTGGTGGAACCTGGAAGGAAAAGGTTAGGGCAACGAAGAGGAAAGCAGGTCTGGAAAGAAGGGGCTGAGCTCAGAGCTCTGGGTGGAACATTAGTGGGGAAGGCAGGTAACAGGTGGCGCCCACTCAGGCAGAGACTTGGGTCCTTCCTGCACCACCAGTGTACACAGACACCCCCACCCCTGCACAGACCCCCCAGCTGGGGTGGCACGTGTCTTACCTGCGAGGTGTAGGATGGCTACTGAACCAGCCGGTAGGTGATGTATCTGCCTGCGGTTTCGCTGGGCCGGATGATCTTCACTACCTGCATCAGAATGAGCGCAGGGCTGGGCAGGGCCTCCTCAGGGACCCAGGGGTGTGTGTGCTTTGGTGGGGGCAGCAGCAGGGCAGGTGGCACCGGGAGCCAGAACAGAAGAGACTTGGGGGTAGCCATGATTCTTTAAAAAGCTGGGGGAGGGAGGGAGGCCCTGAGGCTCCTGCCCGGGAGGAAAAAGGCTGAGGGGAGGGCTCTCCTGCCAGGGTCGTCTCTCACCTGCCCTCTCTTGATCCCAAAGTAGCGTGCCACGGGGTCTCCAGCCTGGATCCTGGGCAGCTGGTTTTCTCGGAGTTTACTGGGAAGCCCGGTCAGGAAAAAAGCCATGCAGGGGTGCCAGGGAGGATGGAGAAGCCAGAGGATTGGGGAGGGGAGAGGACAAAAAGGATACTATCTGGCCAGCAGCTCTGTCACCTCCTCCTTGGTCATGACGACATGCTCTGGGACCAGCTGCCAAGAGGAGAGAACCTGTGTCTCCAGGGGGCCAGGACCCTCTGTGCCCCACACCCCCACACCCCCACACTCCCACACGGGGAGGGGGTACGTATCCTTCTCAGCTGGTCTACAACCGACCATGATTGTCATGCAGAGGGGTCTTGGGACACAACCTGGGATCCCCATCCCCAGGTCAGCAGCGTGGCTGGGAACCCAAATTCTCAGCAAGGCTCAGGTAACGCTGTTGCTGCTGCTGCTCTGGACCCGGTGGCCACACTTTGAGAGCCTGGCTCTACTTCCTTTACCATCTCACCCCTCCCCACCACCCAATTCCCCCACCTTCCCTAGGCCCCACCTCGTGCTCCGTGATATTGATGAGCAGCTCCTGCTGCAGAAACTGTTCCAGGATGTACTTGGGGGCCATGTCAACCAGGGACTGGAAAAAGAGATCCTCAGACACGGCCATGTCCCCCCCACAACTACCACCATACACACACACACGAGACTGGAGACCCAGCTCTTGTTTCTTCCTCAGAGGACATGGCAAGTGGGAAAGCTGAATGGGTTTGATCTTATTTCTCAACAAGAGGCCAGGCATTCCCATTGCATGCATGGGGTTCTCCCCACTGCCCTGGCCCTTGGCACAACTCCAGACCTCAGCCTGGTGTCAGGAATTGAGTTTCTATCAATTTAATGAGTCCAGGAGGTTGGTCTCTGAGCTGGCATGAAGGACCCTTCCCAAGAGAGGACCAAGATGGCAAAGACTCTGAGCAAGGACCACAGGCACAGGGAAGAGGGTGCTCACTGCTCCTCCCATCCCACTTAGGCCTCTCCAACCACAGGCGGGGGATGCTGGGCCTGCTCTGGGGATGCCCCATGCTGCCCACAAAGGACAGCAGCTCCTCAGACCTGACCTCTCACATTAGAACGTAGGGCCAGAGGCAAGTGCTGCCGAGGGTGCAGTGGGTGCTCGGGGTGAAGACAGCAGTGGGTCTCTTAGGTGCCATAGGAAAGTGAGGCTCGGGCAGAACAGGAAGGGAAGTGGTCAGGCTCTTTGCTGTGGGGGCACCCACCTGCTTGGCAGAGGGTGTCATGCCCTGCTGCACCACGATGAGGGCTCGGGTGATGTTTTCCTCCTGCATGCGCTGGCAGTACACCTTGATGGTCTTGATTCCCACCTTGGGCTCCTCTGCAGACAGAGTGCATTCTGGTCCACAATGCCAGGCACTTACCCACCCCTTCCCAGGCATGTGTGGCACCCCTCTGAGGCCTGTTTTCCTGTTTGCAGAACAGGGAGCTGGCTGCCTCCAGGTCACCAAGCAGCTGAAAGGTGCCTATGCCCCGGATTTCAGAGGTCCCTGTCTGGAAGTGGGTCTAAATCTGGGTTTAGTTGGGTGCCTCGCTGGTTCCAAGGTTTGAGAACCCCCAAGCTAAGTGGCGTGTTTTGTCTGGGAGCCCACAAAGTGCATGGCTGGGTGTCCAGAGTAAGATGAGGTTGGTGGATCTGCCATGGAGACAGACCACTCATCGCCAGGGGCAGAAGTCCTTATGTCTTCAGTAGCATTAGGGGCTTTGTCACTGGAGAAACACTGGACCCTATGAGCTTAGCAGGTCAGCCACTGGGCTCTGGCCACCAGGATTCATGTGAGTCTCCTTGCTGGGCCTCTGTCTCCTATAATGCAAATCACTCCATTGATGAGCAGTATCCTGGGCTGAGTTATGTCCTCCCAAATCCCCATGTTTGAGTCCTAATTCCCAGTACCTCAGAAGGTAACTAAACTACTGTGTTTGGTACAGGAGCCTTCAAAGAGGTAATTAAGGTAACATGAGGTCACGTGAACCCTGATCCAATCTGACTGGTGTGCTTCTGAGAGACTGAGACAGACATTAGGGACCCTGTGAGGACACAGGGAGGAGGCAGCCACCGTCTAACATGCTAAGGACAAGAAGCAATCAGGGGAACCGACCCAGCAGACACCTTGATCTTGGACTTCCAGCCCCAAGCACTGGAGACAATAAGTCAGTTGTTTTAGGATCCATCTGCAGTTTTTTGTTATAGTGGCCTCAGCAAACCAATACAGACAAACTTCAGCCCTGCCTGAAGCATGTCCCAGAGGAGCAGTGACACCGCCAGTGTCATCAAACACCAGGAAACGCAGGGAGAACTCCTGCTCCAGGGAGAAGCTCATCCCTGACAGGACTGGCGCTGGCTCTGTGGGAGGCCTGTAATTAGGCATTAATATCTCAAATAACCGTATCTCATACACAGGGACATTTTCTTAAAAAGTGTCACCAGGCCGAAGCCGGTTTGGCTCAGTGGTAGAGCGTTGGTCTGCGGACTGAAAGGTCCCAGGTTCGATTACGGTCAAGGGCATGTACTTTGGTTGCAGGCACATCCCCGGTAGGGGGTGTGCAAGAGGCAGCTGGTCGATGTTTCTCTCTCATCGACGTTTCTAGCTCTCTATCTCTCTCCCTTCCTTCTGTAAAAAATCAATAAAATATATTAAAAAAAAAAAAAAAAAAAAAAAAAAAGTGTCACCAGGTTCAGCTCTGCAAATGTTTTCTGCCCTCCCACTTCATTCTAGGCATGCAGTTGTCACCAAGGTGCTGAACACAGCCTGGTCCCCCAACTTTTGCAGGCCTGAGAGTGAGGCTGCCTCAATGTGTTAGGTGCTAAGACAGAGGAACACGGGGATCCCAGGACGCCCCTCAGTGGGGATCCTGGAAGAGGAGGCACCTGAGTGTAGACTCAGGGACAATGACTGGACACTGAGGAGGCAGAGTGAGGAGGAAAGGGTGTGATGAGGCGGGGATAGGCAATATGAGGCAATAACTCTGCAGCCGTGCAGGAAGGAGCTGCAGGGAACACAGGCGCTGAGAATGGAAGCTGGGCTGGTGGTGGACTGAGGAGGAAATAGTGCGTCTGAGGAGCTGGGGGCTCGCCTGGAAGGTCTATGATAATCAGAGAAAACAGTCAAGGAATAGAGAATGGGGAGAGGGGTCGAGAAGGAAACTGGAAAAGGTACTCAGAAGGGTCAGAATCATCGGCATCGCCCACAGCACATAAGGTGAGGGAGAACGCTGGATGTTACAAGCTGGAATGGTCTAAGCAGGGGAATGCTACAAGCTGGATCCCAAGCAGGCCCTCAGATGGCTCTGCCAGAACAGTGACCCCCTCAGGCACCAGCAGGACACCCACCTGGGAAGAAGACAAACATCTGGTCAGTGGGGTCATCATTGTGGGCCACCAGCACTGTGAGGTCCGTGCGCCGTGGCCGCCCTTCACTTGGCTTGTCCCCAAACTGGGCCTTGAACTCCTCTAGTGTCTGGTCCAGCTCATCCTGAGTCACCAGGTAGCCTCGGTCATGGCACAGCTGTGGACAGAAAGAACCAGGTGACCCCAAGGAGAGGAGGAGTGGCAGCAAGAGCTTGGGCCGAACGAGGCCACTGTGAGGACAATACAGGGAGTTTGGGGCTCAGTGTGACAGGTGCGTGTAGAATCCAGAAAAGAGGGATGAAGCCGGTATGGGGCGCACGCCAAGATAGCCATTGTGCCAATTCAGTTAATCAGCTGCCATGGGTGCTGTCATTTTATCCTGAAAACTGAGGCCGTGAGAGTGAGAGGCTGTGATTAGCAGCAGCTGCAGAGCTGGGACTTGGGTTGGGGTCTTGGAGCCTGGAGCGGAAAAAGACAGTTAGGTGGGAGGGGCATTGCTAGGCTGCCTGGACAGTTGAAAACCAGGCAAAAGCTTGAGGGCCAGGAGTTCTAGGACTCATCTCGGAAACTGGGGCTCTTTACTGGGCTACAGGAAGCAGATCCACGTCTGGTTTGGCTCAGTGGATAGAGCGACGGCCTGCGGACTAAAGGGTCCCAGGTTCCATTCCGGTCAAGGGCATCCCTACCTGCCCCTCCTCCCACCCCAGGATACGGGAGTTGTTCAGGGGGCAGGCAATCAATGATTTCCTCTCATCGTTGATGTTTCTCTCTCTCTCTCTCCCTCTCTCTCCTTCCTCTCTGTAAAAACAAAAACAAAAACAAAAAACGTAAAGAAAGGGGAGGTCAGAGCTGCTATCAGCCTAGCCTGCCTGAGGCCTCCTACATTCCCTTTCCTCTGTGAAGTCCCCACACCTGATTTTCTCTCAGGACACACAACACTGTAGGCCTGTACTGGTTTCAGTCCCTATCTTTGGGGGATCTTTGCAAACGAGTGGAGAGGGAGAGAGGAAAAGAGCAAGAGCGAGCGCCGGACCGAGATCAAACCACAACCTAGCCAAGTACCACAACCTGGCTAAGTGCCCTGACCAGAACTAGAACCCGCAGCCTTTCGGTGTACAGGATGACACCGCTGCACCCGGCCAGGGCTCTCATAAACTCTTAAAGTCCTTTACAGGGCTCGGCATTCTTTACGGGGACAACACCGCGACATAAGAGGCAGCAAACATGCGGGTAGAGACCCCAGACTCCCGCTTCCGCCTCCCTGCCCGGCTCGGACTCACGACTGGGCCCCGAGGCCCGCGCTCACTGCGCTCGCCAGGCCCCGCGCGCTCTCACCTGCATAATGGTCTTGCGAATCTTCCACAGCCGGTAGGTCTCCTCCTCGTCGTCCATGCTGCCTGCCCGCCGCCGCTCGCACTCACTGCGCCTGCGCCCGCCGGGACGTGCGCAAGCCGACTGTGCCTGCTGCGAAGCCCTGTTCAGGCCCCCTCAGCACCTCTGATTAGGGGTGTCCCCAGCGAACGCCTGAATGCAACGACGTTTGGGAGAGGCAGTGCTAAGGGCAGCCCGAGTGGCTGTTGGCTGTGCGAATAGCACCGCCCACTCGCGCTTTGGAAGCACTCGCGTGGCTTTGGGAGTTCTCGCGTGGCTTTGGCTGCTTCTCTGGAGTTCCTGTTTCTTCTCAATATCCGTCTCGGGGCGGCAGTTTAGGATCCCAAACTAGCTGAGGCGAGAAAGCTGAGGCTGGGACAACTGAGGCCCAGACTGAGCCAGAGGCCTGCTCTCCTCTTAGGAACGGTGGGGCTGCATAGTAGTCGCCCCATAAATGTGCGTTCAACTGAAAGCGGTCCTTTTTATTGGTTCTGGGCCATGTGCAACCTAATGGTTCCAGCCTCAATTTTCCCATCTGTACAATGGATATAATAAACTGTCCCCGTTTAAGAGTGTTAGCTAACCCTGGCTGGGTAGATCAGTTGGTTAGAGTGTCTTTCAGATAAGCCAAGATTGTGGGTTTGATTCCCTGGTCAGGGCACATACAAGAATCAATGAATAAGTGGAACAATAAATCAATGTTTCTCTCCCTCCTTCCTCTCTAAAAAATCATAAACTTAAAAGAGAGAGAGAGAGAGAGAGAGAGAGAGTTAGTTGAGAATCTAAAGGAATATGTTTGGGAGGAGGTTGGCATTGGTCCTAGTGCTTATGACATTCTCCCACCTCTGTCCTCTCCCCTTCCTGTCCCCTGAGATCAAACCACAGCCCTGTCTCTCCCTGATTTCATACAGGAGACTCGCCCAGCCCAGCCCCTGCCACTTTGGAGGCAATCAGTAACTTCTCATTCAGTAATACATTTATTCAATCAGGTATTTACTGAACAACCACAGGGTAAGCACTCCCTTAGTTTCCAAGAAGAGACAGGATAGACATGGTAAACATATTAGACAATAATGTGAGAAGGTGACAATGCTTTTTGTTTTTGTTTTTAATTATTACTTTTTTAGGGAGAGGGATAGTTAGAAACATCAATGAGAGAGAAAAATTTATCAAACTGCCTCCTGCACGCCCCCTACTGGGATGTACCCGCAACCAAGGTACATGCCCTTGATGGGAATGGAACCTGGGACCCTTCAGTCTGAAAGCTGACACTCTATCCACTGAGCTAAACCGGTTTCGGCAAGGTGACAATGCTTTGTAAGAAGAGCAGGCCGGCTATGGGAATGGGGTTTGCAGTATCAGACAGGAGGTTAGGAAAGGGGAGGAGAAGTTCGAGCAAAGTCCCACAGGAGGAGAGGGAGGGAGGTGTGGCTGTCTGGAGGAAGGCGTTACCAGGCAAAGGGTACAGTCTGTACCGAGACTCTGCAGTTGCATCTTGCCTGGTTGGCAGCAGGAGGTCTGTGGAGGCAGGATAGGAGAGGAGGTCAGAGGGTGGAGTGGGTCACATCTGGGAGGCCTTGTTGATTGAATTGAAACATTTGGGTTTTATATTCAGGGAGACCAGGGAAGGGGTGGGGAGGGTGTCCTAACCGGAGAGTGGGGAGCAGTGGTCCGGGTCCAGGTGTCCTGGCGGAAGCACCCGCAGGATTTGTAGGACAGGACGTGGAGATGAGAACAAACAGAGCTGCCCTGACCTGGATGGAAAGACTCATGGGCAGACAGGGAAGGACTCTGTGATGTGCAGAGCTTAGGGGGCTCTGGTGAGACCCCAAGCGGAGACACTGATGAAATGGGGAGGATAGGAGTCTGGAATTCAAGGTGAGATTCGAGTGGAGACAGACATGTGGGCACGATGGGCACAGGGTGGAGATTGGAGCTGGGAGCCTGAAGGAGTTCACTGAGCAGATCCAGACCGGAGGCCAGGAGGAGGAAAGGGAGCTTAGAAGGCAGAAGTGTGCACAGACCCCGGCCCGGCTGCATGGGCTCCAATCTTGGCTCTATGACCCAAGGCACACATTATTTAACCTGTGCCTCATCGCCTCCCTCCCCCGTGCCTCAAGCAGCGCCGTTTCCTAGGGTGACCTGGCTGATGACTGAGCACCTGATGTCAGTGCTGTTCCATAGGGCGGCGAGAGGTGCCAGGTGTCCTGGGTCCAGGTGAAAAGTCGTCTGGAGGGGGCATAGGGAGCAGCCATCAAAGCCTCCCGGCAATGAGTCTGAGCAGGCCTGAGGACTGGGCAGAGGTTTAGCTACGTGGGTGTTGTTCATGACCATGAGGAGAACAGATCCAAGGAACGGGTGAACTGAACCCCTGGGTGGGGCAGGTTTGCTGGAGGAAAGGAATCGGAGATGTGGCTAGCTGCAGAGAGGAACGGGGGAGACAAAGTTGGAGAGTGAGAAGGACAGGGTGGGGTTTGTTTTGTTTTGTTTTGTTTTAATTGATTTTTTTTTACAGAGAGGAAGGCAGAGAGAGAGAGAGAGAGAGAGAGAGAGCCAGAAACAACGTCGATGAGAGAGAAACATCGACCAGCTGCCTCCTGCACACCCCCTACCGGGGATGTGCCCGCAACCAACGTACATGCCCTTGACCAGAATCAAACCTGGGACCTTTCAGTCCACAGACCGACACTCTACCGCTGAGCCAAACCGGTTTCGGCCAGGGTGGGTTTTAATAGGAAAAAGGACTCACAAGAGCAGGTGGGCCTCAGGACACCAGAGAGGCTGGCAGGGCCAGACCACAGTGCTGCTGGCTCAGAGTCCTGCCGCGGATCGAGCGGCCTCAGCACCAGGACACAGAGTAGCAACCTGCTCCTTCACACCCCTCACCATGCTGTGCCACCTGGCAGATCCTGAGGCCCAGAGATCAGCCCCCCACACACACACACACTCATGGGTGGGCATGTAAGATGGAGCAGCCCCTGTGGAAAACAGTCTGGTAGCTCCCCAAGCAGAGTTACCACGTGACCCAGCATGTTTACTACCAGGTTCATAAGTGAAACCGGACATCCAATGGGTCTGAGCTGCCTGTCTCTATCTGAGCCAGTTAAACACACAGGAGCATTTATTCCAATCATGCCAGCAGTCTGTGAGAGCAGCAGGTCATCCACAAAAATCTGCTCCAATCTTTCCCATAAGCCAGCCACTTCTATCGGGTAGGAGGACAAAGATTACCCGGGAAAGTATAGGTATTACAGGCATGGGGAAGTAGGCAAGGTATAATGGTTACTAGGTTACAGGCAATGTGGGCTGGGGTCGAAAGGGCGGGCAAAGGGCAGGTGCCTCCTGAGCCAGATTGTTTCAGCAACAAGGGAGGCAGCTCTTGAGAAAGAAGAATGGACTGACTGCATTACGAGGTTAATTTTATTTCCTGGGGCATATAGTTCTCAGGCAGCTGAGAATGTGCTTCTCTAATCAGAACAGAACAATCATAGTTAACAGAGCATGACTAATATATCTTATCATTTATAATTATAGCTAGTCCCTGTTAGGTCTGATCAAATAACTGAATCGATACCCTCCCCGCTGGGAACCAATCTTTAAGGCCATTTCACTATGGACATTCCGTTTTGCTGAGACCACACTTGACCTGCTGAGACTACATTCCATTATCTCTCCCCTCTGGACCTGCACCGAGAATTCTCTGCCTAGAAAAAGCCCGCCCAAAGTTCTTTAAAAACCGCTGATTCCCGTCACAGGGTGCTGGAGCCATCTGGGACTCAGCCGCCTGGTGTGCGGATGATCGAATAAATTTGTAATCCCTCACCACTCTGGCCTCGTGCATTCCTCCTTCGACAACCTAACAGTCCCCATTATTCTATTTCTGCCCTTAACATTAGGAGAAATGAAAACATGCCCACACAAAAACTGTATAGCATTACAAAGCCAATAGAAGAATGTATATCAAGGGATAACTGAATAAAGAAAGTGGTCCATCAATAAAATATATTTTTTTAAAAAGTAGGGGGAGGGCCCTAGCTAGCTTGGCTCAGTGGATAGAGCGTCAGCCTTCTGACTGAAGGGTCCCAGGTTCGATTCCAGCCAAGGGCACGTGCCTGGGTTGCGGGCTTGATCCCCAGTGGGGGTTGTGCAGGAGGAAGCCCATTAACCATTCTCTCTCATTGATGTTTCTATCTCTCTCTCCTCCCTTCCTCTCTGAAATCAATAAATATATTTTTAAAATAAATAAAAATTAAAAAAATAAAAGTAGGGGTAGGTGGAGAAGCCCTGAAGGGTGATTGGGACCAGCATTGGCAGCAGGTGCAAGCACAGGTGGGACCACGGAGCACGGGAGCAAAGAATTTTCAGTAACCACCAGAGGCTCGCGAAACACCCAGACTTTCCAAATGCAAGGTTTTAGAGAGGACAGAAAACAGAGCAAAACAGGACGGGCAGGAGGAGCGGAATGTGTAAAGGCTGTGTGAGAACAAAACAATGTTTTCTTGGCTGAGGAGCTAGCCAGGCTCACAAGTGTTACAGGGCAGCGAAAAGCTAGGAAAATTCCATGGCAAGAGGAACAGGGAAACTGAGACAAGAACATTAAAACAAGGCCAAACAGCGTGGGCGATTTAGAGCCAGCGTGTAAATAATGAGCCATTATTTCCCTAGCCAAGGACGCTAGAGAGCAAATGGTTAAAAGCCTCCGAGGAGAGAATGCAGGAAAGGGGGAGAGAAGGGAAGTCTTTCTCACCCACTAAACAAAGGAATCGGCTGCTCTGAGGGGAGGGAAAAGGAAAAGGGGCAGTTTTTTTTTGTTTTGTTTTGTTTTTTTACTCCCTATGCAAAGAACACAGCAGTCTCAAGGCTTAACAAGATCAAATGGCCAGGTGCCTCTCATGATTTCTGGGAAGGCCACGACAAAGTAAAAGGGGACCTTGAGAATTAATCTGTCCAAATATTCAGCAGGGGACTTTTTTAAAAAAAATTTATTTTTTTTATTTTAGAGAGTGTGGAAGGGAGAGGGA